GCTCTACTGGAAAAAAAAATTAGGGAAAATATTAACGCCAATATTGGCCAGATGTTTTTCCGTGTAGTAATGCCAACAATGGTCCAAGATGGGTGCCAATGCAGAGCCAAGATCTTGGCGGATCTTGGCGATATATATTGCACCAATATTGGGGTGCTACTGGGGTTGGAGCGGTCTATTCTGAAAACAAAGCGAGAACCATGCTGCCATCTATTGGTCCGGATGAGAACTTTAATTCTCGAGTAATTTCAAGTGCAATTGAGGTGCATTGGATTGTGCCATCCGTTTGAATGGAATCAATGATGGCAGGGCAATATTAGGGAGACAAAGCTTCGCCAAAATTGACAATATTGGCGAAATTGGCAATTTTGCGTGCAGCCGATATATGTCGAATTAAATTGCAAGGCAACCTGGAGCCTTAATTGGGCCTGTGTCTCTTGCCAATGATGCGCCTATAATGTGAAACCAGACTAATCCCATGAATGGGCCTGTGTCGTTTGCCAATGAAATGCCAATAATGGGAAACCAGCCAATTGCCAAGAAAGGGCCTATGTCCTCCACCAATGAAGTGCCGAAAAATGGCAAGCCAAGCTAGAGTCAGGAATGGGCCAAACATACCTGCCAATGCCGATGATTTGCCGAGCTTGCCATGCAGGAGCCATTGTTGGGGCAAGCATTTTGGTTATGTGGGGCGGATAGTTAAGCGCCGGCATCGAGTACGCGCTGAAGCTTGTTTGCTGTTAAAGCTCTTCCTGGATTTTCCTCGCAAGCGGCGAGTTAGAAAATCTCAGGTGACTGGCGATCTGTCGCCGTTTTTCTTGCCGTTTGGGGCAAGCGGCGGAGTTCGCCACGTGAGCTCCTTGGCAGTGGCTGCATTTAGGATGCAAGCGGTTCAGCTTTCCCTGGCAGTTTACGTCAGTTTACAGCTTTACATTGGCCGATGCAATGGCCATATTCCAGGCATTTAAAGCACTGGATTATACGCGGTTGAAGCACGAATTCTTCAACTCTGAGGTAGAGGCAGCTGATCGTAAGAGATCCTGCTTTTAGGAGGGCGCGAGCCGTTTCAGTAACAAGTGCTTTCACGAGGATCATGTGGAGGGGCGCGCCTACCTTTGTCTTCCTCATCCGCATGAGGCCGCCTTCATGGAGAGGAATTCCATGCTCGGTTGCGAGGACGTCAGGGATAATTTCCACGCCCTCTTCGGGTCCAACTCCCTTTACAACGAACTTGATTGCCTACCTTTTGCAGGAAAGACCTCTCCGACAATACCGGACTCATTCCATGTCAGATGCCTTTTCAAGGGTCAAGACGAACCCTGCAGCGGATGTCGAGCAGCCGGACGGGTGGGAAAAAGGTGGAGAACGGGCGGACAAACGCGATATTTTGCTAGTACTTACTTGGCATAAAGACAGGGTCTTCAAAGAAGTAGCTCTTAGAAGATTCGGGTCGGCTTGGGTTGATGCTACCGCGAGGCGCATAACTGGAAAGAATTTCGCGAGGCGAGCAAGAGGAAATTGAGGATTTCGTCGGGTCCAGGGAGGCGTGGGCGAGTGGGTGGAGGTCAGGTAGGGAACGGGGCTGGCATAACTAGGAGCTGGAGACTTTTGAGGAGTAAGAGGTGGGGGCGAGGGTGTTCGTGAGGAAGAGCTCGCAGCGGTTGGAGGGTGCGAGGATGCGACAGGGGAGAACTGCCGCCTGGAGCGAGGTGAGGGGTCTGAGGTGACTGAAGGTGTGGGCGGAGGGGCGCCCTTTTTCCGCGTCCTTCTCTTTCCAGGCATATATCATGCCTGGAAAGAGAGATGAGTAGGAAAAACAAAGGAGGAGTACAAAGGAAAGAAGACAGATCGGAGACAGAATAAATCAATGAGGGCAGGCGAGAGGTCAATGTCATTTTGCCATTCCAGTAAACTCCTCCTAGACTGATGAACGGATTTTCATGAGTGGTGCCAATCGAAAGCTTAGTACCTGGACGCGATACCTATTGGGGTAAAAAGTTTTAAAATAACTGAACGTGTTTTCTAAGGGTTCTCCTGTCTTTGGCGCGTCAGAGGCTTGCACGGATTGACTTTTCCGAAATGAAACTGGATTCGGAACTATAGGAATTGTGGCCCGCACCCGACCCGGAACGCGATCATCGACCGAGCTTTGCTGCTCCAAGCTGTGGATCATGTTGTGCTGATATGGCCGGCCCGCATCCCGCTTAGGCCTCTAAGCTTGAGAAAGCCAAGTTGAGGCATTTTATGACGTATTTGCCCCAAGGGGAGGGGGGTCGAAGGGACCCTCGCAGATCTGCGCAGAAACGCATTTTTGGGTGGAACGCTTCAGAATGAAGGGCATTCCGTGCAAGCAGACAGGGTGGCGAAGCGTGTCTTTGGCATGGGAAACCGTGTAAGGAAGTTATATCGGGATATCTGACACTCTGAAAACTTCTATATAGGCCGGAAAAACCTCTTTCTTAGGGATAGGGATTGTGAAATCGATGCCCGGTCATCTTCAGGTGTGTGCGATCCTGGGATACTGGCTGTCATTTCTGAACACTTGGAAGCTGAATTACTGGGCTAAAATGTAAATATTACTCTGTTTTTTGTAAATATTACTCTGGTCTTTGGGCATCAGTATGAAATTGAAAGAGAGGCGGCTAAAAACCAAATGCATGAAGAAGGTTAATGAGGAGGATCTCTTGACTGCAGCCATGGGTCAGAGGTCATGCGTGACCCCTAGGGGGCGATGCACATATCACGACCTCCATAGCTCATTGAGAGCATATGAGGGAAGAGCTCTTAGGGAGCTCTTCCGTCATATGCAAGACAGCCTTCTGGCC